ATCATAACCTAGCAAGTGAAAGCATGCAGGTATATATATATATATATATATATATAGAGAGAGAGATCACAGTACAAGCAAAGTCACGCAGTGAGCAAGTGAGACAAAGTAGGCACAAGGCCTAAAGCCGTACAAAAACGCTGATGATCACCAGGCGGAAGTGCCTTGGTGAATATATCAACAGTGTTGGCCCGAGTGGCCACGTAAGCAAGATGAAGCTGACCACGTTGCTGCAACTCTCAAGCAAGGAAGGAACGCAGAGCGATGTGCTTCGTTCTGTGCTACAGTCTGTGCTCCTGACACAAGGCAATCATGGCCTTGTTGTCTACGTTCAGAACTGGAGGAGAACGGGGTCGCTCTCCCAGGCCGGTCAGCCGGTAGGTGAGCAGCGTAACTCCTGTGCAGCCATGGCCCCTGCGTAGATCTCAGCCTCACAACTGGAACTGAGAACAGAAGACGAGCGGGTAGACAGCCAAGAAACAGAGCTGGAGCCAAAGCTATGCCACTAGTCTTGTTGCAGAGTCTGAGTCTGTCTGTTCTCCGTCCGTCAAGGGTGAGTGTGCTCCTGGCACGGGCGTCCTTGAGGACAGGCAGGAGGAATTTGAGTGTCTTGCAGCTGCTGTACCTCATCTCGTGGCCATGCTGCTTGCACCCGAGGGAGACGCGGATGCTCTAGACATCCCGACCCCGCGCTCTTACGCAGAAGTGATTACGGGTCCCTACTCCTCTTAGTGGCATTGAGCCATGGACATAGAGCATCCTGGAAGTCCACAGCACTTACGTCAACGCAGTTCCCCCTCCTGGGGCGAACATAGTCGATGGCATGTGGATTTTCAGGGTGAAGCGGCCGCCGGGTTCTCCGTCTCTCTTCAAGACTCGTTACGTTGCACGAGGCTTTAGTCAGCGACAGGGCGTTGACTTCTTCAAGACCTTCTCATCTACCCCGAAGATGACCACTCTTCGGGTGCTGCTGCACGTTGCCGCTCACCGTAACTACGAGCTTCATTTTCTTGACTTTAGCACAGCTTTCTTGCAGGGCACCCTGCACGACGAGATCTGGTTGCGCCATCCTCGTGGCTTCACTGGGTCGTTTCCTGAGGGTACCCAGTGGAGCCTTGGATGGCCAGTCTACGGTCTCCGCCAAGCGCCTAATGAGTGGCACGACACACTGAGAATGACACTTGCGGCCCTTGGGTTTGCTCCTTTGACTGCTGACCCGTCGCTGTTTCTGCGCACCAACACTTCGTTGTCGCCGTTCTACATCCTCTTGTACGTTGACAACTTGGTTTTTGCCACTGCTGACACTGAGGCACTGACCCTTGTGAAGTCGGAGCTGTAGAAGAGACACATCTGCACTGACCTGGGTGAGCTGCGCAGCTATCTTGGCTTGCAGATCACTTGGGACAGAGCACGGCGCACTATCACCCTGACTCAGTCACACATGGTGCACCAGGTCCTTCAGCACTTTGGCTTACGGTCCTCCTCGCCCCAGTCCACTCGCTCGCTCTCAGCTCCACTTTTGGATGAGTCCGTAGAGCCGAGTGGCCCGTATCCTGAGCTTGTGGGCTGCCTCACGTACCTGATGACCTGCACTCGACCTGACCTTGCCTACCCTCTTAGCATCCTGGCTCGCTGCGTTGCGCCCAGGAGACACTGACCAGAGCACTGGGAGGCCGTTAAGAGGGTGTTGCGCTATCTATGCAGTACATCAGGCACGGGGCTCGTGCTTGGAGGACGGGGTCCAGTTGTCCTCACTGGACACGCAGACGTGTCTTGGGTTGACTACATGACAACGCAGCGGTCGTCACAGAGTTACCAGCTAGCAACAAAATCGACAAGATCAGCAACTAAGGGAGACGCAGCAGTGGACTCGAACGAAGGGTCAGTGACAACAGTGGCTAGGAGACGTGTGACAGTAGTACCTCCAGCACCTCTTGGATTAGCAGCTCCAACGCCTCCAGCTCCAATGCCTCCAGCTGCAGGGCCTCCATCTCCAGCAGTGCCATTCAGAAGGCAGGTGCGCCGAGCAAACCACTCGCGCAGCTGCTGCGGTGAGAGAGGCTCGCGCCGGCGAGACTGCCGTGAGGAGGAACCCGTAGGACCTCCAGCAGACGCGGTACCCCTAGGCTCAGCACCCCCAGACTCAGTACCCTCTGGCTCAGCACCCCTAGGCTCCGCACCCTCAAGCTCAGCACCCCCAAACCCCGCACCCTCAGGCTCCGTACCATCAGGCTCAGCAGCCCCAGACGCAGCACCCCTAGTAGCACCACCCCCAACAGCACCAGAGTCGCCAATTACCTCGACAAGGGGAGTGGGACCTGGAGCGAGGAAGAGCGGCGGGGGGGGGAGAGGGGCAGTGCGGTAGGGGAGGAGACGGTAAAAGGGAACCGACTCGTCAAACGTGACATCCTGAGAGGGCAGGACACGGCGCGTGGTGGGGTGGTAAAACTGCCAACCAGGGGCGTTAGTGATAAGCCAAGGAAGACACAGGGAATGGCGCGGGAGGAGAGCTTGTCCGCGGAAGTATCGCGGACAAAGGCACGAGAGCCCCTGACCCGGAACACCGCCGCATCGCCAACCTCCCCCGTCCAACACAGTGTAGGCGAGGTCTCCGGCAAGGATACACGGGGCCAGAGGTTGAGCTGATGCGCTGCGTACCAGACCGCAAACGGCCACAGAAAATGGGGAGCAGCCGCATGGATCATGAAGGTACGAGCCACCTCCATGACTAAGCCAATGCGGTGCTCAGCAATCCCATTCTGCTGCGGGGAGCCCGGAAGCGTGAACGACTAGAGGATGCCCTCCCCACGATAAAAGTCCCGCAAGAGGTCGGACGAGAACTTACCACCTCTGTCCGAGTGCAGACGCAGGACAGGAAGGTCCTGGCGGAACCGCTTGCGGAGCTGGAGACGGGCAGCGCGGATCCAAGGGATCAAGACATCAGGGACCTCCCCCTCGCTGCGCAAGGGGAAGATCGTTGTGTAACGGGAGTAGTCGTCAACAACCAGCAGAAAGCAGCGCTCGCGGCCCTGTCCACTGACGCGGGCTAGTCCCCACACGTCCATGTGGAGAGTCTGCAGAGGAGCAGTCGTCGGGGGAAACGAGGAGGACTGAGGAGCGACGCGCTGCTGCCCCTCGACGCAAGGAAGGCAGGGCGGGGCAGGCGAGGGCAGGAGGGGAGGCAGAGACTTGGGAAGACCATATCCACATCGATCATAATCAGCTCTAGCCAGCGGGGGAGCTCAGCCTCGTCGCCAAACTCTGCGCGCCAGTCTTTGTCAAGTCGGGAGAAGCAGCGGGACTGTGTGTGACCAACCTTCCAGCATGTCTGACCAGCGCGGTCACCTATGCGAATGACGTACTGGCAGCGAACACTACCCCCAGACGCCCCACGCGGAGCAAACCGCTCACGAAGCTGCTGGGGCGTAGGGGTCTCGCGCGGACGCTGCTGCTGCAGCCTCTGGCCACCGCCAGAACCTCCCCTCTGAACGGCTCCACCCCTACCGCCACCACTGCCGCTGCCACCACTCTCATTGCCGCCACCACCGCCGCCACCACTCCCACTGCCGCCGCCGCCGCCGCCACCACCACTCCCACCGCTACCACCACCGCCACCACCGACGCCCCCACTCCCACCACCACTCCCACCGCCACCACCGCCACCTCCACCGCCTCCACCACCGCCTCCACCGCTGCCACCCCCACCACCCTTGCCTCCCTTGCCCTTGCTGCTGCGGCGCCTCCCACTAGGAGCAGACGCAGCCCCGACATCCTCAGCACGAAGGAAGTCAACAGCAACAGCAGAAGCGAAAGAGGGAGCAAGGGGGGGAGGAGAACATCCCTCAAAGAATCAAAGAAGGGAGTGCAAGGAGTGCCACGAGCAGCACCTACAGCAACTATGCTAGCCTCACCTGCAATGGGGTGCTTCTCGAGCAGGTCGACAGTGAGGTCTGTGGGGTCAAGGGCGAGAAAGTGGTCCCTGATTGCGCGAAGAGGTTCAGGGAGGCGGGTGACGATGAAGTAGAGAGTGATGTATATGAGGGGGGGGGGGGGTTCTTGTCTAGAAACTCGGTTTTAAGCGCGGCAAGGTAGCGAGTGTCGGTAGTGCGAAGGTGGGTGATGAGGTCGTCGACTGTGGCAAAGGCTGACAGCTCGGGAAAAAGGTAGGGCAGTATAAGGCGGCCGAGAGTAGCAGTGGCAGGCAAGCCACTGTGAGCGAGTCGCACTGTCAGCTGTCTCGGGAGGAGCGAGAGAGGCCCCAGACGTGTGGTCAAACAAGGAGACGCCGTCCCTAGACCCGCTCTGTAGGTACAGCTGTAAGTCGTCTAGCCAGTTCTCAAACTGGATCGGACGGCCCTCTGGATCGAAGGTAAGAACAGTGAGAGTAGCCATAGCAGGGCAGAGCAGGGTGGCACGCGACCAATAGGGCAGCACGCAGGCAAGGCAGGGCGACGCGCAGACAGCAGGACGGCACGACGAACAGGGCTGTGCGCGGGCACTAAGGAAGCGCGCAGGGCAGGGCGGGGCGGCGCACGGCCAGGGAAGGGCGGCGCGTAGGGCAGGGCAGGGCAGCACGGTGGCCAGCAGGGCGGCGCGCGGGCAGGGCAGGGTGGCATGACAGGCAGCAGGGCGGCGCGCGGGCAGGGCAGGGCGGCGCGAGGCCAGCAGGGCGGCACGACGTGCAGGGCAGGGCAGCGCGCGGCCAGCAGGGCGGAGGGACGGGCAGGGCAGGGAAGCGCGCGGCCAGCAGGGCGGCGCGACGGGCAGGGCAGGGCTGCGCGACTGTGGGGCAGCGCTACGGGCAGAGAACTATGCGGTGGGCCCTAAAAAGAAGCGGTCCTGGAACAGAACCTGCTCTAAAACCATGTCAAGAAACTGAACGAGAATGAATGCTTTGACAAGAAACTGAGTACAAGTACTAACCCTAGTTGGGTTATACCCCTTATGGGCTACCCCACTACAGCATACACAATATAAACATTATAACAGTTTGACAATCTATGCGGCCCAAAATACCCGAAGTATATAGAGTGTTGTTACATATGCACATTATGCTTGATTTGCCAAATCATCCTCTCCCTGTACAAGTTTATTTCATGTATCAACCTTTGCCTTTTCTCTGAATCCACAGAATCAGTGTACTCCTGTTGTGAATAATATACCTTCTGCTTGTGCTCCTGCTCCTGCTCCTGCTCCTGATGCTGATGCTGCTGCTCCTGCTCTTGATGCTGATGCTGCTGCTCCTGCTTGTACTCCTTCTGTTGCTGTTGCTGCTTCTTCTCCTCCTTCTCCTGCTGCTGCTGCTGCTGCTGCTGCTGCTGCTGCTGCTTCCACCTGGGACTACTCAAGTGCAACCCGCCCAGCTCAGCGCCTCCAGATTCAGCCACGTAAACTCCAGGGGTACCACAAGAACGACTGGAATTCAAAATTTGCACTTCATGCAAGGATCCAACGGCTTGGCAGCGTGCCAAGTCATGATCCTCATATGCAGGCAGGTTTATGTCAGGGATGATGACTCGCGTATGAGGTGGCTTCTCAATGTACGTTTGTCCCTCCAATGGCTTGCATTCACATTCCTCCATCAGCTCAATTACACATTGCTCCACGGACGCAACTCTGTAGTCATTGCGAGCTTCAGCAGAGAAATGTGCTGCACTGCGGGGTTGAAGTGGTTTTTCAGACAGCACAGTTATTCCCAGCATCTCCTTGCTTCGAATGTAGTCGGCCCAACTTGGTTGCGTGCTGCATTTCGAGGCAGCGGCAGCACAGCTCCGTTGCTCTGAGGCGATAATGACAGCTCTTTTCATGGGAGAGGCCCCAACCAAAAGTAGCTCCGCTTTAGGACCTCTGTGTTGCTGAGAGATGGATGCGTTGGCTACTTCAGCAGTTACTCTCGCTGTCTTGTCACTGTATGCTTCTGGCATGGCTGAGGAAGTTGTTGCTGCAGGGGTTGAAGTACAAGCCCTGAAAATTTTATGCTGACGGCGAGCATTGCTGTTGGGAGCACCATCGCTATGGTGGTCCTTACCGCGGCCTCGCTTCACCATTGGGAATCTTGGTGCGTTCTCTCTCACCAACTCCTTCGCCCAGTGGCTACGTGGCGCCATTATTGCAAGAGTGCAACGTTCTTGAAGTGAACGCGGCGTACCTGAAACCCTACAATGGAGGAGAAGACTGAAGAGTCATGAAAGTTGTGACACGGGATTTGGAAGGAGAAATGACACTGAAACTGGCTCAGCCTGAGCAGCGTGGGAGGAAAATGGCCGGAAGCTCAATGTGGATGACAGTGTCAGGTGTCTCGAAGACTCACGAATGGAAAAACGACTGCCAGTCGGTCTTCAACATATCCTCTTCAATCGAAGCCATGCGTCTGGCTTTGCTGGCGCCATGCCTGTGGCTCACAGGTCATCTGATAAGCTACTATTCCGTTACAAAGATATCAGATAAGCTGCTCCAGCATATTTCGTTCAACGAAGTTGGCCAATGCTCCGTCCACTTGTTGGCAAGTGCAGAAGTCGACTCAGAAATTAGTTATGTTCTGAATATAATCTGGTACTAGTCTGATGTTAGGGTTAGGTTGGGTCCGATGGAGTGGGGTTCAAGGCGTGACCGAGAGAAAAAGGTTCGGGATCGATCGCCAAAGTGAACTGATCCGAGCGATTGGTTACCATGCTGCAGATACAAGCAAAACCTGCTCGATTGCCCTTGCTCGATCGAGATTGATCGGGAGATTGACAATCCGAGCGTATGTACGAAAGCAAATCATTTTGCAAAGAGCAACAAATTTCGCATGCTAGTGTGTCGGGACCGCAACATTGGACGACACATTGGCGAATCTGATACTGTGTGATTGACGCGAACCCCGCATAAGACAATAGCGGTAGAGTTTCCATTAGAGGATCGATCCGACAGAGAGCCAAGCAATTGTTCAAGAGATCAGTAGAGAGCGTCAATTCTTGGTTCACACCGTTCGTGTCAAAACAATTGTTTGGTTCTGACCGACCAGCAGTGCCTGTACTACCCAGTTTTTTCGCTCTGGTTTTCATTCGAGTGAAGATTGGGTTCGTTTCATAATTGCCCTGCTTGAGTGTTCCCCCCAGTTATTTTCACGCCAGCAAGTGCATTATTCCGTCTAAATCGTAGGGTAGTAGGAGCACCACCAAAATTCAACTTGCGAGGAAGTAATTTCTCAATGATTCCCACGTGGTTTCACCTGGTACTGTGGTGTGGTGGAGATGAACAGTAGACGCAATAGTATCCACGGCGTATCTGAGAATTTTCGCCAAGGAAAAGAAAATAGTACATACTATGTTGATAAACTCCACAACTCGGATGATTCTACGAAGCAACTAGACATTCTTAGCTAATATGGGAAGTTCGTTCAACAGAATAATTAACAATTTCAGGCCCCAAAATAACAAAATAAAAGAACAATCTAGAGATGTTGATCAATCTCCGCAGATATGCGAGTTGGATCTCCCGCGAATCTGTACCAGATGCGTATATCACCGCCATTTTAGACAGTTTGTTTCTCTCTCCGCCAACTTCAGAGTCCACACATGAAACCCGCCCTTGGGTCAGAATTGGCAATATCATGAAGGCCAACAACATTTCAGAGGGTAACTGAGGCAAAGCAAAGCCACCAAGGCAGTGGTTGCGTGTCGGTTCACATTTGCCAGCCAATTCCACAGTCGCGACGATGAGAGCACAAATAGTCGAGTCGTGCTCTTTGCCCTCTCACTTCGATCTCAGGCCTCTCCCATTCAGAATTTGCAACAATGGCTTCTGCTGGAACTTATGACAGTCTTGCTTCTTGCAATACTCGCTCTGTCACGGCTACATTTCGTTCACTCGCAGTTACCACGGCTCAGCAGTTCGTTCTACTCTCACAATCGCCCACAACTCCCGCTGTCTGCGGTAGTGTGTCCAGACTTGCGGAAAGCGCCCCGCACTCACTGCGGCCTGCGACAACTCTCTCGCTATGGGATATGCCGCAACCAGGAAGAACCGCATCCTTTCCTAACAATGCCATCAGCGCGCGCCAAAGCGCGCAACCAGAGACTCAATCAACTAAGCCCGCAAGCCACGGGCTGTCACTACAGCAGTTGCAACATCTCATCGCCCTCACGGCTGCCAGCGACGGCCCCCGCGACACGAGCAGTCCTTCTGTCTTCCTGGGCATGCCGTTGCGCGACGGGCCTCAAAATCGCAGAAGTCGCAGGCTATCGCTTGACTCAGCGCAGCGGCGACTCGACGCATGGAATCGCGCGAGCAAGCCCGTGGCTGAATACCGCCGTGAGAATATCCGCGCACAGCGGCGGCTTAAACGCAGCAGAAGCGAGCCCTTGCTGGTAAGATCGAAGCGGAAGGAACTCTTACCTGACTCAGGTAGCCAAAGGCAAGCGGCGCTTCCGCTGGATGTCGTCGTTTCAGAGGCGCGGAAGCAGGCGTTCCGCCACTCGCTCCGCCGCTCCCGGAGCGCGCACGTGCTGGGCGAAAAGGGCACGGGCGCGCTCTGGAGCGACGCCATGACTGCGCTTGTCTGGCGGCGCGGGGGAGGGGTCATCTACCGACGGCCGGAATGGCTAACGCCGTCAGCACTGCCAGCAAGAGGCTCATCGAACGACCACCGTCACGGGTGGGACAGCAGGCAGGAGATCGCATCGACTGCGAGCTCGACCGACCCTGTTCGTGGAGCCCCGCCGCTCCTCTGCGCGGTGAACGCAGCGACGAACACGGCAACGGTGACAAGCCGACGTCGGCCCAGTCCGTTGTGCCAAACCCCACTGTCCGCGTCAGTAGCGTCACAACCATCGGTGCAGAGCCGCAGCCGGCCATGGAGTTCGGCCTCAGTAAATGCACACGTGGCGACGCAAACGAATACGGCCAACTACCACGGGAGTTTCGCTCGCACAGTTCTTCTCACGGGAGATTCAAATGGTACTCAGACACCTGGGGTGACGACTATTAGAAACGAGCAGAGCCGCTTGAAGCAGCAGCAGCAGCAGGCGGTCAGGGACCCCGTGAGATCAGTGTTTGTTTGGGCTGCTGAGCAAAGAATTGCCTTCCGCCGGCGGACACAGAGTGCGCTGCCATGAGATGCTCCATGGCATAGTGGAACAGCTCTAAGCTGTTAGTAGTTCTGAATGCTAAGTTTCAAGAGTCTAAATTAGCAAGGCAGATTTGGTAGCATGAATTCTGTAAATTTCAGAAAGCAAGAATGGCATACAAGGGACGAAAGACTACTGTTATACACATTCCTATGACTATGGCGCCTTGAGAAGTTCGTTCAGGCCGCCATATCACCTTTCTCTGCTGTCTCCAGCTAGGAACAGAATATGTACAAGCAATGATAGCAATCCTATGCTGGATCCTAGCTGTTTATATAGAAATATGCAAAGTACAATCATGAGATGGTTCTAGAAGAGCACTAGCTGACTTGGTCTTCTACTTCATGATGATGGTACTTGGGTCTTGTGGTGCTGGAACGTATTTACAGCTGTATGGCATGGCTAGTTGCTCTGCTGTCGTAAAGATGCTCAGATACTCTCTTCTCTGCTGCTTTGCTGGTTGGGAATTCACGTGTGCTTTGAGAAATCCCGAAGCGCACATTTCAGGTTGGGATTTCCAACCTCGAATTTGACATTTCAGATTGGGTTTTGGCGAAAGTTACAAGTTCGCTAGTGAGCGAACTTTCCTGTGACGAGTTCGCCTTCGCCCTGTAACACATAGCTACATGCGGGAAGGCACAACTGGCAACGAAATGTTGCGTTGATGAACGCACAAGCGAGTCGTTTGGCCCATCATTCATCGGCATTCGAGTTCCGTGCAGCCGAAATAGCGATCCGTAAGGGTTTCCGAGCCGTGTTTATCATGTGCAATAAAAGTCGAATGCTAACCAAATCCTGCTGGGAAACATATACATTATGTTGAAATTCCACAATAACTTCACAGCAGCATGATTTTGAAGCCACATTTCCCTCATTGAAAGGAGTAGCACAGTCTTACCGTCACCCCCCGGATATACCCCCATGGGGGGCTATAATATAACATGTTTTTTTGAGGGGGTGGGCTTATAATATAGTAAATTTATAAGCGCCGGCGTTTATAATTTGTCAAAATTGAAATTTGTTTTTTAATATACCAAATCGAAGCATTCTCAAACGCGGATTCACCTGGGTCGAGAACGTTCGAAACTGTGCATGCATTGCGTGTGAAACAGCCAACAAGGCGTGGCTTCACGCCTTCCACGCCTTGTTGGCCAGGCCAGGTTCATCGAACGTGAACCTGGCCCATGCCAGTGCACACGTACCTCGCATCACAGCGGCCCAATCAGGGTTGCATGCGATCGTGGGCACGTCGTGGTTCAGCCACGGTGTGCCCATCAACAGCAAAATTCCCCGCCACCGAGGCAAGGAGCTGCCCAGCTCAGCTCCTCTGCGGGGAATCTTGACTGGGGCCACCCTTTTCCCGCAGAGGAGGCCGGGCCGCGAAAATGAAGGGGTCTCGGGCGAGGGCTTCATACAGCCCTCATTCTCGACTTTTGCCTTCAGTTTCTTTGTTCGTTTGGCCTGCCGTGGCCATGGCGGGCCTTCCAGGCACGCATTTCTTGTTCCGCCGCCATCCTGCTGCCAGAGAAAACACCCGCCGAGACACCTGTGACTACTCTCAATGGCAGTCGCGCCCTGCGCCCGTCCCTCCGTGTCAACCAGTAGCTCCTCCCGTTCCTCCCACTCCCCCAACTCCTCCTGCACCTCCCGCTCCCCCGGCGCCTCCGGTTCCTCCAGCTCCTCCGTCCCCTCCTGACCCGCCTGTGTTTTGTGCTCCACGTCAGGGGGTCCTGCAGCTTCTCCTCCCTCCTGGCTACTCGGCGTTTGACGCGTACCTGTCCGAGCCCGACCGCGCCGGTGGCGCATCGTCTTCCTCCGCACCGTCGCCACGCTGGGGAGCCCCGGCTGATTGCCCGTTGGACGAATCCGCGACTGGTGCGGAGGATGACGTGGAGTTTTGGGCTGCCGACGGTCTTCCAGAGCACCTGCCTATTCCCACCTTCCCCCCCCCCAATAAGAAACGGCCCCACCCTTCTCGCGAGAATCGCGATGCCCGTCCTCCCTCCCCCAGGCACAAGCCTTCAAGTCACAAGCGGCACTCTTACACATCGCAGGAGAAACTGCAGTGGATTCTCAAGCTTGAGTCCGGGCACATGAGCGTGCGGCAGATGTCTCGCCAAACCGGCATCTCCCGAAGGTCACTCGCAGAATGGAAGACCCGGAAGGCTGACCTGGAGGGCGCGCATGCTGCTCGCAAGCGTCTTCATGGGCGCGGAAGGAGCTCGTGGTATCGCGACATGGAAGCTGAAGTCTACAGGAGGTTTCTTGCCCACCGTAAAAAATGTCTCGCGGTCTCGATTGCTCGCCTACAGAAGTGGTCGCATGAGGTGATGAAAGAATTGCACCCACAGGTAAAGTGGTCCGGCTCGCAGCGGTGGACTGAGCGGTTTCGCCGCCGTTGGAATCTGACAACCCGAGCGAAGACCAGGGTCGGCCAGAAGCTTGCTGCCAGTGAGTTTTGTGGGAAATGGTTGCAGTTTAATGTGTACTGCTTTGTGTTGTTTGTCTCTTTATGTTTCACGGTTGAATTTTAACGCGTCATTAATACTCTCTTCTCTCTTTCCCTCCCACCCGTACTCCCAGACTGCGAGACTGACGTCAGGAATTTCTGGAAGTTCGTGCGTCACACCCGCCGCCAATACAAGATTGACCCGCAGTGGATAATAAACGCGGACCAGACACCACTGTGGCTCGAGATGCCTGCCGAACGCACAGTCGAGGAGGTGGGTCTGCGCTCTGTGCCTATCCGCAGCGGCGGCTATCAGAAGGAGCGAGTTACGGTGATGCTCGCCTGCACTGCCAGCGGTGAGAAGCTGAAGCCGTGGGTCTTCTTCAAACGGAAGACCCTGCCTAAAGGGGATTTCCCTTCAGGTGAGCATTAACACCCACTGCTGCATGTTTTTTTTTTTTCTATGTCTACTGATGTTGTACGTGCGTTTATGGCTGTGCAGATGTTACGGTGTCCGTCCATCCCAACGGTTGGATGGACGCGAACGGAGTCATCGAGTGGCTCGACGGGGCAGTGAAGCCGTTCGTCCACCCCAAGTTCGGAGTGAGGCCCCGCAAAGCGATGCTCGTCTTGGATTCGTACCGCGGGCACCTGACTGCGGAGGTGAAGAAGAAGTTCGGGGAGCTGAACATCGTCCCTGCCGTTATCCCAGCTGGCTGCACCTCGGAGATTCAACCTCTGGACGTCGCGGTGAATCGCTCCTTCAAGGCATCCGTTCGCCAGCTCTACCAGGAGTGGTTCGAGAGCGAGGGGGTCGACACCTTGACAAAGAAAGGTGAGAGAGGCAGGCCATGCGTGTGCTGCTTTAACAGTTTGTAGCGGTGGCTGACTTTTGATTGTTTAAATTTTATGGCAGGCAACATCAAGAAGCCACCACCCGAGCTAACGCTCAAGTGGATATCAGCGGCTTGGAAGGCCGTGCCCAGGGACTTGATTCAACGGGCTTTCCTCACCTGTGGCATTAGTAACGCCCTGGATGGGTCCCAGGACAAGATGTGCCTGCAACACAGGCGCGACGAGCTTGAGGGCGACGAAATAGACATCGACGACGACATTGCAGCAGATGGCTTTTTCTGCAACAACGTAGAAGAACCAGAGTCGGACTCTGAGGCCGACCCGGATGATCCTACCGCAGCTGATGACTAGATTACGTAGATCTAGAAATTGTTGTAGCCTGTGAGACTCGTAGGTAGATTTAGAACTGTAATTAGAAAAAACTTTAGACAAATTGACTTTGTAATTAATTAGATGAAAATATACAATGTTAATGTGGTTAGTGAAGCGTGTAGAATTTTTTTTTTTTTAAAAAGTGGCAGTTATAATGTGTAAGGTACAGGTATGCGGCTATAATCCGTACGACTTTAGGGTATGCGCTTATAATCGAGGAGGGGATATAAGCGCCATATGCCAATTAGAAGCGCCAGGCGCTTATCCTAGGGTGGCGCTTATATCCGGGGGGTGACGGTAGTACAGAATGCATCTTTTACCGTTGCTGGCTTGGTTACACACCACACTTCACGGCCGAATCGGATTCAGCTCTGAACGTCCAACTCATGGTTTACATTATGGTGAAGTCACAAAGCATCGGTCAGTAGTACCTTCCTTCACAAGCCAAAACTTGTCATCAACCCTGATGATCTGCACTAAAGCGATCTGCACGCTATAGTGACCAGTAGCGATCCGGGAGCTCTAACAATCCATACTCTACAGATCCGAGTGCTTTTAGTGATTCCAGTTCTCTAGAGGTCTGTATGCTCTAGTGATGCCGATTATCTAGGGATCTGTATTCTCTGTGTAGACTTTTCACTGCTGAACGTTATCCGCCCGCCTCGCTGCCATTCTTTGCTCAGCAGCCCAAGCAAACACCGACTTGACGGGGTCCCTAGCAGCCTGCCGCTGCCGCTGCAGCAGCAGCTGCTGCTGGTACCGGTGCTGCTGCCACTGCCGCTGCCGCTGCTGCTGCAGCTGCAGCTGATGCTGCTGCTGCACCCTGCTCTGGTCTTCTGTGTCCGTTGGCACAGCACCTGAAATGTGCAATCTACAGAGTTTCTCGCTAGGGTATACTCTGGGATCTCCTGCGCTCATATACCGTGCTCCTGCCGCTGCCGCTGCAGCTGCAGCTGCAGCTGCTGCTGCTGATTGTGATGGTGATGATGATGCTGGAGATGCTGTTGCTGTTGCTGTTGCTGTTGCTGTTGCTGTTGCTGTTGCTGATGATGCTGATCGGGATAGTGATGGAGATGATGACCCTGACGCTATTTGCACGAGACCGCCATTTATCCCCCCGTGCGCTACTCTGAAAGTAATTCCTGCCGCGTACGCTGAATTGTATCGTGCCGCGTTTCCCAACCGTTCGCCTCCTGACGGCCGCGCCTGCGAATTCCCGCTGGCTGGCCGTCTAAAAACGACGGCGCCCCCACGCCCCCAGATGATGGCCGTCATCGCCTCGTTCCAGCGCGCCGCGGTGTCCTTCTCCCCCAACGCGTGCGCGCTCCGCGAGCGGCGGAGCCACCGGCGCATCGCGACTTTCCGCGCCTCCGAAACGACGCCCTCTAGCGGCCGCGACGGGCCGCCTACGCTATCCTCCCCTCCGCGCGCGGATTGCCGCAACGAGGGGTCGCTTCCGCTCCGCTTGAGCTTCCGCTGCGCGCGGATGTGCTCTATGCTGTTTTCCACCACGGGCTCGCGCGCGCGATTCCACGAATCGAGGCGCCGCTGCGCAGAGTTAATCGACAGGCGGCTTCTGCCGGGCCGCCCGTCGCTCGTCGCCGCGTACGGGAAGGCTGCGGCCGCGTCGCGTGGGCTGTCGTTCGCGTTTGTGAGCGCGACGAGATGCTGTAGCTGCTGCAGCGACAGCCCGTAACTTGAAGGAGGATTTGATGCGGCGGCGCGCGCCGCAGGCTCTGACGCCGCGCCGCTGCCATGGACGCCGTCGGTTTGACTCGCCGACGCGCAGTTGATGTCTTTACTACTAGATCTAGAAAGGGGGAGCGGGGATGTGGCGAATGGTTCTGTCGTTCGACCTGGTTGCGCCGCGCACTCGCCGCCGCCCGTCGTGGGAACGGGGACGGTCGCCCCCGCCGCCTGCGCTTGCGCGGGTCTGGCGGACTGACCGTCCGCGCTTTCCGCGAGTCTGGCTGCGGGATCACCAGCGAGCGCAGCTGAGGGGGACGAAACGGCGGAATTTCCGAGAGACGTTTGCATCGACAGGACTGCGAATCTTTCGGCTGGGATAACTGCGACCGACGCCGAAGAGGAGCGAGCGTGATGCGCGCGTGCGACTGAACCTCCGGCGGAAGCCATAGTCGTCGCAGCTGGAGGATTGACTAACTACACCCTGTTTCGCGCTATTGCGGCTTCGGTGTTAACATCGCGGGGAGAAGAGTACGGGGGTGGTTATATATGGTTTGGTATGGTTGAATTAGTCAATTTAAATCAAACGAGATCAGCCTACAGGTACGCGCAATTTCTAAAGGCGAGAAAGAGGAATCAATTAATCTGACTAAATAGCAGATGGACGCCATTGTCACCGCCGTTGCAGGACTAAATGTAAGCTTGCTTGTGAGTCTTGACCTAAAAATGGATGTGGGCTGGGCTCCCCGCAAAAGAAAGATGCGGTTAGCAGGAGGATTCAGATCGGACACATTTTTGTACAATCAAAGCGGTTGGCTACGGTGTTGTGCACTCTGGATGTGCTGGTTCAATTCGCCGCTTCGAACCGCTATTTACCCTCCTGAACAATGATTTACATGAGCTGTAAGCGAGCTGTGTGTGACCTGACCTCCCTCATTTTTCCAGGCTGTTTGTGCCTGCGCCCGTTGTCTCTACTCGGCTGTGCCTGTGTTTGTGCCTGTGTTTGTGCCTGTGCCCGTCGATAAGGGAAATGATCCACGCGGCTACGCCCTACACACAATCCACGTGCGGAGGATTTTCTGCGATACATCACGACATTCCCTCTGAGTTGGAGAATTCGATTCCAGCTGTCCATCCGGGCTAGGTGTTGAAGCAAACCCTTCCTACAAAATCTCGGACTGGCTGACACGACAGACTCAACCACCCACCCACACCGCTGATGTCATAATTCGAGTCTCCGTCGTCCTTGATGCCTGTGTATCTAGTTGCGCTATTTTCAGTGTCCCAAACTTCCACCCCAAGCTTTTTTTTTTTTTAACCCCAAGACAACTACCCATGGTTGATATTAAATAGAGATGTTACGGACGACTTCACTCAGGGTGATGTTCCGATATGCGGACGCGACATATCCTCTATATTCTAGGTAGTTGCTTGTTCCAACCGTTAATAGGTTAGGAATCTTCCATGAAAAAACAAATGTCAGGGTGTGAAATTGCCGCAGTCCAGGTGTTGACGCTTGGTGCTAACGACACTTATTCGCCGTGCCATAAAGTGGCGAAATTTTATGTTCAGCTTACGACATCAGCGTTAGGACGTGGGCCCAATCGAGTTTGATCGCCTCGATCACACGCAATTCATACTTTCCAGGAAGCCTGGAAGCCAATTTCATGCAATCGGGGGCAATCAGCTGATCTCGATCAGCTGATCACCCCAAACTCGATCAGACCCGATTTCACCCCAATCAGAGCCAATTTTCCTCGATCACAGGCGAACACTTGATTGCATGTGATCAGGGACCACATCGAGGCTTGCGAGTATTTACATTGTAGTACTTACAGTTGAACAAAAATATTCGCCATGTGACGTCCGGTCGTCAAAACTAGCTAAAATGGGGACGAAAATGTCAGGTAAATGTTTCGCGCTTGCGGAGCAGGCGCGCTGACAACCTTCTTCAAAAAACATTTCTGATCGCGCGGCTCGGGCACTGCGATCACAAGGAATCCGATCAGATCCCTCCCAATCAGATCAGTCGCGATCAGACTCGATTGGGTTCTCGGAGTTAGCTGCTCATTCACAAATCTACATAAGGTTCCCCTTGTTTCTCGTCATAATAAACCGCGTAAACGCGCTACTGTTGAGTCCAACTGTATCACGGGTCCTCCGTCATTCCCGATGTTTCCAGTTTCCGCCACCATTCTGCCCATTTTCATGGGGTCATAACTGGGTCGAATGAATACCCTGGCCGAGGTAAAGTAAAAGTCAAGGAAAGTCATAGGGGAAACCCCCTTTGGTAATACCTGGGCTGTCGGTCGTAACCCGCCTCCCCATGTGTTACACGCCTCGCTGGGTAACGAGGTTGTTCTATCCACTCCCAGATGAGCACCTGTGTAGTCCCTTTTAGTGGGGACTGGCTGTTGACGCCGCAAGGGGGATTTGATCCCGGGACCTAATCTTTCGGAAGCGAACCAGCTAACTAGCTGGGCCACTTCATGATAATTCCCTGACTGAGGGCCTGAAATGTGTGGGTGTTGTCTGTGAAATTTGAATGGGGGGCTCTAAGGGCGGGTCCAGCTTTGCACACTCCCGTTTTTTTCGTTATTCATATGTCAATGCACTAGTCAAAATTGACTGTACCCCAAGGTGAACTCCAAACATTTCCTGTCCAGTTCTGACTGGACAAGTCGGACTTTTGACAAGGTACAGTAACGCTGCGGGGTACAGTACTTGGGATGAGGGGTTACCCAATAAAGCGAGGTTTTCGCAACTGTGACGGAGGGGAGATTTATTGGCGACAACAAATTAGCGAAAAACGGTGTTACTTTTTGGCGTGTTTGACGCGAACGAGTTTGACGTGAACCTTCGGACGTGTTCTGCACGTCCCCGGGCACGTTTCCGTAATGTCACCATACATGTACAGTCTCGCGTCAAATGGATTCTGGTACGTTTGTAGTTCTGTTATATGCCAAAATGTGGTAACTGGGCTGAAAATTGTCATACATTTGCAAAGCTGGACCCGCCCGAAGCGCCTGCTAACTAGCACAAACTGCGAAGTAGTAATAAATGCAGATGACGAGGGTTTACTGTTTCAAATATCCATGAATTTCAGAATTCTTAACGGCAAACTTTCGCGACGCGCCAGCGCGCAAACGTTTTTTATTCCATCAGCCAAGCTCGCACCGCAAGTAGGGTGATCGAACCTCGTCCGAATGGATGGACCTACATGCGCTTCCACGTTATTTTCGTGCTGCGGACGTGGCCATATCGACGTTACAGGTGCCTTAATTGCACCACATTCAAGGCATTAACCCTAAACACCATGCTTCCCGTGTTTAGGGTTGATGCCTCCCAAATTGCGCTCCTGCCTTAGGGGTTTATTTTCTTTCAGCCCCTGGTTAGATTCAGAGGTCTGTAGATGTTTCAGAAAATCGCGTTTGACACGCGCCAAAAAAAAGAACACATGTAGACGAAAAACATGACACGCGCACGAAACATTTTTGCGCCATAAGAAACAGACAAAACAACCGAAACTTGTAAGGTCACGGCAATGTAGCCACAATTGCGACCTTGTTTTTACGAAAACACGAACACCACCTGGCAAACTTTATCCCGCGCGAAACAGTGACAATTGGGAAGACCACCAAATATGACACATTAAAGTGGACGTCGATTTTGCGTAAGCGCGTGTAACTCGATTCATTAGCGAGGGTTCTGGTCGCCCTACCTGCGGTGCGAGTTTGATTGATAGGATTAAAAAAAGTTCGCGTGCCGGCGCGTCGCGCAATCTTGCCATTTTCAACGGTGGCGGCCAGGATGTATGGCAAGGTTCAATACAGGTGTACACTGTTGGACTTGCCACTGGACGAGGAAATCTGAACGAGTTACAGTAATTTAGTGCAGGTCGTTGGCCGGGCGGAGTGTGTTGTCCGTCTAAATTGTGGAGGCATGATGCCAACCTGGCATCACCACCAAGATCCATTCACGTTAAGGTACACTGACCCTATTCTTTATTAATTCAATAATAGACCCGACAATACCTGAATCTAGCCTAAAATTTAATTGCTTGACTTGAGAGAGCAGCATTATGAGTTTCCTATTTCAAGCAATACAACATTTCCTTCACACAAGTTAGTGCATCAACAAGCTGATGCTACTTTACAGCAACAAGCAAGTGCTACCATGCCTCTTTGAGGCAAAATCAGAGGCTGTTATCTCCCATAACGCGTGTGCTGTGTGCGGGATCCACCAGGGTGGAAGCCTTACTACACCCCTTCTCCATGCAATGTTGACGACGGGATGGCACAGTTGAAAAGACAATGGTTGGATAAGTTGCCGACTGAGAGTGGAAGAGACCCGGAGGGAGGTGGCGGAAGGGTGGCTGTGTTAATGGAGTCTCATAGGGTGTAGAGCGATGGAGAGAGGAGTATCAGGTATGGGGAAGGATGGTGGGGAGGGAGGAGGAAAATCAGACGGGGGGGAGGCAGCGGCGGCAGGTGGGGCATTCCATTTTGATGTCCATCCAACGCTGCAGGCATGCCGTGTGAAACATGTGGTCACAGGGAGTCACCTGCATGGGGGGGTGGGGAATGGAGGGGAAGGGGAGGGGGAGAGGGGGGGGCTGGGTGGTTGATAAGCAACAAATGCAATGTATCGGGGCTAATGAAATGGATTTTGAAAAGTCCCAACAGCACTCCATCTTGATGTCCATCCAACACTGCAGGCATGCTGTGTGAAACATGTGGTCACAGGGGGTCACCTGCACAGGGGGGGTGATGATAGGTAGATTGACAGTGTACAGTACAAGAGTCAAGATTCATGGGGGGAGAGTCGATGGGGATGCAGATCTCAATAGTGCTTGGAGGAGTTGACATGAATGGGAATCCCATGCCATGCCATGCAGACGTCAAACCATGCAAACATACAGAAATCAATCCCCATGCCATGCCATGCAGACATCAAACCATGCAAACATACAGAAATCAATCCCCATGCCATGCCATGCAGACGTCAAACCATGCAAACATACAGAAATCAATCCCCATGCCATGCGGTCCATGGAGTGCGAGGAGATGGGCACGGGCGTCATGCAGATGACCATGCGACTTGAATAAGACAAAACAAGCCAGCCGACTCACCATGCGGTCCATGGAGTGGGAGGTGATGGGCACGGGCGTCATGCAGATGACACAGTCTGCCGGCCCGCTGTCGTCAGCGTCGTTGCTCTGCCTCATGAGGCACGACACGCGGCGGAAGTAGGAATACTTTTCAGGGAGGAACTGGGGGGGGGGGGGGGGGGGGGGGGGGGGAGAGGGGGGGGATGGTGGTGGGGAGCATGCATAGCAGCATGGGAACATGTGAGCGGTGTGGGGTACAGGGTTCATGCATATCACTGTCATTCGCGTCACTGCTCTGGTGCATGAGGCATGACACGCGACGGAAGTAGGAATACTTGTCAAGGAGGAACGGAGAAGGGGGAGGCAGAGGGCTGATGCAAGGTGGGGGAGCATGGGACACGGGAATTAGTCGCAAGCATTGTCTGCCGTGTATGCCTGCTCTGGCGCACGAGGCGGGAAAGTAGACTACTTTTCAGGGAGCGAACTGGTGGGTTGGTTGGGGACGGTGGTGGAGAGAATGGGCGCATGGGAACATGTGAGGAGCATGCGGATGCAGGAGGAACATGTCATCCGCACTGCTGCTCTGCCGCACGAGGCCGGAGACGAGGCAAAAGTAAGAGTACCTTCCAGAGAGCAACTGGTGGGGACGGTGGTGGGTGGGGAGCACGGGAGAAGGGAGGCATGGGAGCAACGTAAGCACATGTGAGGGACGCAGTGGTCATGCTTCGCAGCGCAGCACAAGGGGCCACTTTCAATGGAATCCCTACAGAGGAACCTCAAAAGCGACTTTGCAACCAGCCACCAAGCAACCCACCTGCTTGGGAATGAACCAGTGGGGCCCCAGGTAGTGCTGCAGCAGCAGCGCCGCGACCTGCGCGCCCATGAACGCTATCAGGGCAGCACACCACGCGGGGCTCGGCTCCACACGCACAAGCCGCACAAGCAAGCCAAGCCGCACAAGCAACCAATTCCAGCCACAGTCAACCCACCCGCCTGCTTGGGAATCAACCAGCACACCCGAACGAGCAACCCACCCACCTGTTTGGGGATGAACCAGCGCGGCCCCAGGTAGTGCTGCAGCAGCAGCGCCGCCACCTGCGCTCCCATGAACGCGATCAACGCAGCGCACCACGCGGGACTCGGCTCCACGCGCATAAAGTTTTTCGGGCACCCGAAAATGTAGAGCGGGATGGCGAGGCGGGTGGCGGACATGCCGAGAATGTAGTGCACGTGGAGGGGCTTGCGCGAGTCCCTTATAACGGATGTGACTATCTGGGGGATCCAGAAGGAGTAGAAGAGCAGCAGCAGGTAACGTAGCGCCGTGCTGAAGCGGTAGATGAGGAGAATGCCGCCCAGGAGGAAGCCGTCTGGCAAAGGGGAGAAAACGGGGTAGCAAAACGGGAAGAAAACAGGGGAAACGGGTGGAGAAGGTGAGGGGGGGGAGGGGAGGAGGGAGGGGAAGGAGAGGATTGCCAAGGGAAACAAGAAATGCGAGTGAGGGGCGAGAAGAAGAGCAGCGGCAGGTAGAGGTGAGGAGATTGCTGCTCTGCTCAGGAGGAAGCAGAATGAAATAAGGGCATCTACTCGCAACTCACCAAATGCAACCAGTCAGCCACTCATGCCATCCTTCCCAAGGTTCCAAAAAACGGTTTTCGTAAATTACGGTCCGTTTCTTACGATAATTTTTAAAAAATATGACCGTTTTTTTGTTAGAGAACTCTTGTCACCACGAAAAAAAAAGGCAAAAACAAGGTTGAATACATTTTCAATCATGCCCACAAGTGCACGCATGCAAGGAGGGGTTCGTCCTCTTCATTCTGGTGCCTTTCGCCATCAATTTGGTCCCAAAGAATGGCAGACTTTTTCTTCAAACGAATTTTTCCTTCTGAAACCGTTTTTTTACCGTCTTTTATGGCCATTATTTGCGGTACCGTTTTTTACGGTGAATTTTCAAAAAAAAGGGTCGTTTTTTTTTAACCTTGCTTCCCATCAATCAAGGCACTCACAGAATCGCGAGTAAAAGATGGATAGCTCGCTCCGCGCCTCATGAGGTCCCAGCTAGACACCCACTACTCACAGAAGCGCGAGTAGAGGATGGAGAGCTGGCGCCTCATGAGGTCCCAGCTCTCTGAAAACTGCCACGGAGGGCCGCCACTACACGCAATCACCTCGTGCCTTCATTCCTTCCATCCACCACTCTCAAAATCGCTAGGCACTCACAGAATCGCGAGTAGAGGATGGAGAGCTCCCTCCGCATGAGGTCCCAGCTCTCCGAGGACTGTGCGGGGCGGCGGGCCTTCCAGATGGCGAGCAGGTAGCGCATCTCGAAGATGGAGAAGATGACGAACTTGAAGAAGGCTGCTGTTGCAAAGGCGTTGAATAAGGACTCCGCTCCTGGAACGGGGAAAAGGGGGAGCATGGGGCAGGGAGAAGGGCGCAGGGAGCAGGGGGGGCGGGGTGCGGGCGGGGCACACGGGCAGGGGTGACAGGGCACAGGACAGGAAGCAGAGGGCACATGGCAGGGATTAGGAGGCCATGAGCACATTGGGCCTTCCAGATGGCGAGCAGGTAGCGCATCTCAAATATGGAGAAGATGACAAACTTGAAAAAGGCTGCTGTTGCAAAGGCGTTGAATAGCGACTCCGCTCCTGGAACGGGGAGGGAACGAGGGGCACGGAGACCAGAGGCACACTATAGCGAGGATAGCTTCGCTTACCAACTACAATGCCAGCTGTGAGGTGCAGCAGGCAGAGGTACGCATCCATGATGGCCTGCTGCCCCACCATCAGCATCGAGACCTTGGCTGCTCCCTGCCATGTGGCGATGTGATGGTGATGGTGATGGTAATGGTGATGGTGATGGTGATGCAGCAGACAGGGACAAGAAAGAGCAATGGCTTATGAGCATTCACGAGTACTTCCAACGTCAGCCTGATCGCCCATGATGGCCTGCTGCCCCACCACCAGCATCGATACCTTGGCTGCTCCCTGCAATGTGGAGACGGGTGGAGGAGGAGGGGGGGGGTGGGGAGGAGCGGGAGACGATCGAAGAGCACGGATGGGTGAGAGAGGGGTGAGGATGGAGAGAGGAGAACAAAAAGAGCAGCAGAGCAGGAGCATCGGAATAAGGCGCATGGGAAGAACGGAGGAAATACCAGAAGAGAACCACGAATCGAGTTGGGGACATGGGAATGAAGGGAAGATGTACGCATAGTGAAAGAGGAAATGACAATAAGGGGGATCGGAAGGAAGGAAGAGGACCGGGACGGGACGCACCGATTGTGTGTTGCTGTGCTCCATCTGGCGAATGATGAATAGCACTTGCAGGAAGGAGATCTGCACATAGAGACAATGCCAGCAGCAGCAGCACACAGGCAGGCACATGGGGAGAGGTGCCGCACAGATGATTAACGGAGGGAGGCTAGCACAGGGCACATGTGTTGCTGCGCTCCATCTGGCGAATGATGAAGAGCACTTGCAGGAAGGAGATCTGCACACGTGCAGCAGCAAAAGCAGCAGCAGCAGCAGCAGGATAGACACATGGGCAAGAACGGGAGGAGGCAACAAGGGAGGAATTGCGAGAGGGAGAGAGGGAAAGCATGTGAGAAGAGCGAGAGAAGCAGCAGCAACAGAACAAGAATTACGAAGGCGAGGGCGAGTGTGGACCATCTCATTATCTCCCTCTCCAGCTCTATCTCGGCCAATTTTGAATGACGCGCCTCAACACCCCGAGCCTCAAAGCACAGAACTCACGAATGTGACCATGAGGGTAAAGTTGACCACTTTATTATAGTATGCCTCCAGATCAACAGCAGTGGTGTTGATCCGCAGAGTCGCAAAGCACGGGATGTTCTAGAGTCGAAAACACAATTTCAAAGCACGGAACTCACGAATGTGACCATGAGGGTATAGTTGACGGCCTTATTATAATATGCCTCCAGATCCACAGCAGTGGCGTTGATCCGCAGAGTCGCAAAGCACGGCGCCCCACTCTCATCCGCCTCCCCCTCCCCCTCCCCTCCCCCCATGGCCCCCCTCCGCCCCACCGGATCCTCTGCTGCTACTAGAGCAGCGTCCGCCTCCCACGATTCCCCCACCCCGCCCATTCCCCCCATTCCGCCCATTCCCCCCCGTTCCCCCTTGCTTTCCGCCAGCAGCTCAGAGCCCCCTATCCCTGAGCTCAACCCTCCCCCTCCGCCTCCCCCCATCCCTACCCCCAACCCTAGCCCTAGCCCCGCTCCTATCCCTGCCGATCCTGCTGCGTTAGCGGCACCAGCCGCAGCGTTACCACCAGCACCACCGGCACCAGCTGCAGCTGCTGAGGCGGCAGCAGCAGCTGGTCTGAAGAAGGAATGGCGAGAGGCAAAGGAGGAGGCGGCTGCGCTGATGTCTTCTTGCACGCTCTCCACGAATCCCTGCATCTGACTCGGCACGTGCTCCTGCACACCGTCTGGTGGGGGGGAGGGAAGCGGTGTATATGGGGGTGGGGAAGCGGGGAGGGGGGGGAGGGAGAGGAAGGGAAAGAGAGAGGAGGGAGGAGATGCTGGGTGAAGGGTGTCCTCTTGCACGCTCTCTACAAATCCCTGCATCTGACTCGGCACGTGCTCCTGCACTCCGTCTGGTGGGGGGGAGGGAAGCGGTGTATATGGGGGTGGGGAAGCGGGGAAGGGGGGGAGGGAGAGGAAGGGAAAGAGAGAGGAGGGAGGAGATGCTGGGTGAAGGGTGTCCTCTTGCACGCTCTCTACAAATCCCTGCATCTGACTCGGCACGTGCTCCTGCACTCCGTCTGGTGGAGTGGAGGCGGGGTGGTGTATACGGGGGTGGGGAAGGGGGGGGAAGAGGGGGGAGGAAGGGAAAAGCAAAGAGGAGACGCTGGGTTAAGCGTGTCCCGTTGCATGCTTTCCAAGAATCCCTGCATCTGATTGGCACGTGCTCCTGCACTCCGTTTGGTGGAAGAAGTGGGTTGCAGGAGAAGGGTGGGGGAGAGGAGGGGAGCCGAGAGGAAGAGAGAGGAAAAGGAGCTGCAGCGATTATTTGAGGTGTCTCAAAGAAGGGCGGGCGGGGAGAGAGAGGCGGGGAAACGAGAAGACTGGCAGCGGTTGGCCGAGAGTGGGGAGGCGGGAACGGATGCGGGAAGGCAAACACGGCATTAAGTTGTTGGTTGACTGCGAGCAAAGGCGTGAGGCTCGTACATGCCATGCGCGGACGGAAAGCGTGAGGAAGGAATGGTGAGGGTGAAAGGGCGAGGACGGAAGTGGGCGGGGTGGGGGGAGGTAGAGGGCGAAAGCAGGCGGGGTGGTGGGAGGTAGAGGGCGAAAGCAGGCAGGGTGGTGGGAGGTAGTGGGCGGAAGGGCAACTCACTTCGCCACTCCCACACGGCGGGTGATACATGTGTGATCATCCTTATCTTGCAGTTCCGCGCCATCTCCACCACCGCTGCTGCTCGCACCACGGGGGAAGGGGTGGGGGCGGGGGGAAGGGGTGGGGACAGGGGGGAGGGGAAGAGGGGGCGCAAGGGGAGAGAGGCCGGTGAGACGTGCGTGATCACCCTCATCTTGCAATTCCTCGCCATTCCCGCCACTGCTGCTGCACGCGGAGAGGGCGCGGGAGAGGGGGTTTGGGGGAAAGGGGAAGGGGGAACGGAGGGACAGAACAGGCCGGGTCAGTTACGGGAGGGGAGGGGCACTTGAGATGTGGGTAGACGGGCGGGCAGAATGGCACGCACAGCACAACACAACGCAGGGCGGATTATCATGAAAGGAGCGGCGAGAAGAGATGGAATACGGTGGTACAACGAAAAGGCAACAAGCCGAGAGGGCGTGGGGGGAAGGGCGTGGGGGAGGAGAGGGCGTGGGGGCGGAGAGGGCGTGGGGGCGGAGAGGGCGTGGGGGCGGAGAGGGCGTGGGGGCGGAGAGGGCGTGGGGGCGGAGAGGGCGTGGGGACGGAGAGAGCGGGGGCGGAGAGGGCTAGAGCGTAGAAGGCCTTACTGTGTTCTGGTGATCCCTGGCCTCGTTTACTGGAGTCGTGCAGCTCCTGCCGAGCGTACGAGGGAGAGAGGGGAGAGAGAGCGAATGCGAGAGAGCGACAGAGCGAGAGAGAGCGTGAGAGAGAGGGCGCAAGAGAGCCAGAGAGAGCGAGCAGGAGAGATCAGGAGAGATCGGGTACGAGAGAGGGAGAGGGAGCGAGTTACAGCAGCTGTGAGTCATACTGTGATCGGAGGAAAGAATACCTGCAGCACACGTGCAGCGTCCCAACCGTGCCGTCCCAGGGGAACAGTACAGAACCAAACAATCAAATCAGCGAGAGTGTTACCAAGTTATCAATCAGAAAAAAACACCACCAAACTCACCAGCAAACAGCTGGTCATCGAAAAGTCTCCAGGAACACTCGACTGAACTCACCAGCCGATCCCTCCGGACTCACCAGCTGGTAGCCATTGGCGGCGCTCTCTTCGTCCACTTCTGTGGAGTCCGCTCCCGCCGAGCTGCGCGCGCAAAGATAAGACGCGCACGGAGAAAAAACGGAGAGGAGAGAGGGGGGGTGGAGAGGGGAAGGGGGAGGGGGGGAGAGCAAACACCATGGGGGGGAATGACGCAATGAGGGAATGGGAGGGAGGAGGAAGGGGGGGGTGGGGAGGGGCGGGGAGGGACGACAAATTTACTAAAGAAGAGACAATGGGAGCTAGAAAAACAAAAGAAAAATTGATCAGGAAAATCAAGTTAGAGATTCGAGAAACTCACGGGAAGGGACGAACGCACCTGCTGAGAACCATTCTAAGGTGGCCGAAGGGGCGCAGGTAGACCCCTTCGAGCTTCATATGCACGTCGCCGTCGCTAATGTACATTCCGTCCCGCAACACCACCTCTCCCTGCCACGCATTCGCGGGGATAATGGGAACACCGCCATTGCGCAAACATTATTGAAACAGTTCCGCAATGATACCACGATTAATCTATGATTTCCGCGTTTCGCAAGACCGCCCTGGCCGGGCAATCCATCTCGGTGCACACCAGCAGCATGATGACCAGGTCTCAGCGCAGAGAGCGGGGGGGGGGGGGGGGGGGGGGGGGGGGGAAAGCGGGCGTCCACTATGGCAGTAACCATATCGTACGCAGCATTGACAGAGGCGAGGGGTCGCGAAATGATCAGGATGCAGCGACGAATACACGCGACGAGCCGACGAAACTTCGCTTTCCAGTCAACGAGTGCCTTCGCATGTGCCTTGGCATCCACTCTGGATGCTAATGAAGAGCCGCCAGGCGCTTCACCCCCACCACCCACACCCCTCCCCCCTCTCACACACACGAAGGCCGGAACCCGAACAGGCTAAGACCGGCTCCCTCACCAAGAAACCGCCAGAAGTAGATCCAGACTCTACCCTTGTCATCTGAATCGGCAGGATCAACGCGGGGTGCTTAGCACATAGGAAGTTCTAGAGAATCCAGGTCGTCCAAATCGGCTGGAAGCAGCAGGCGCTCACATGGACATAGTGAACCTCGGGACGAGTTTTGAGGCGCCTCAAAAGTCGTGCTTAGCATATGAAAGTTCTAGAGAATCTAAGGAGGAGGCAGCAGGCGCTCACATGGACATAGTGAACCTCGGGACGAGCCGTGCTGCTGGTCTTTAATTGAAAAATTATATTTCCAGAGTTCTTCTGTAGGTCCGGGAATCGCGACGACGAGGAATTTCGCGCGACCTCCCATGTGCCTGCGACACAGCACGGTACACGCTATCCGCGTTAGGAGACGCCGCCATAAGGAAACCAACCAGCATGATGCGACAGAATGGCAGCTGCGTCTGATGCGAGGAAGCTTCCTGATTCACCTTTGTATGTTCCTGAGATATTCGAGGGGAATATCCTGAGATTCGACAAGTCGGTGGTCTCCACGATTTCCGACACGAGTGGCCGCAAACTCCACTGGTAGTAACGAGAGGGGGAGACGGGAGGGAGACGGCGCGGGAAACGGTGCGGGACGGATGGGATGAAGCGCGCATGCGGATAAGTGAGGCAGAGCAAAACGGAGAAGAGCGTCAGTCTTGAAGCTTCTAGTGAATGGAGCAGAAACGTTGACGGCTCTAACGTTGACGGCAGTCAAAAGTATCTACTCAGCTAGTCAAGGTAGATTCAGAATACAATCTCAACATTTCAGAGAGGATCCAACGCCATACTGGTTCCACGTCTCCGCTGATTTACGGTACCGTGCAGTCCCATGAAGTATTCCTAAGTGGTGCAACACGGAAAGGAAGCACAACTAAATATGTCTTAGTCGCAGGTAACGGCAAACGCACCTCGTCTTCCCAAAGGGGGAGTTCGGAATCTAGTAGCTTCTCTCGGATTGGTCGAGAGGCGAGTTGTCTACATGGAAAGGATAGTAGCACTGCGAAACCTATCAACCAGTGCCATCTAGGACGAGGTTCCCGCCTCGTCATAATGCCTAACCAGCAGATGGTCTAACAGGAGAGTCTTATTCTGCAGTCCATCCAACAGATTCGCACAAACCCTAACTTCCACTGGAGACGGTAGTAAAGCGTATAATTCGACAAACGCTTCACGAAAAAATACTACGAACAAACGATTTGGATGTAGACGACACACGCGAGGTGGTCGCCATCTAGGTCAGAACTGAGCTAAACTGGCGAGGAGAATAAAGATGAGTGAGGTCAGTCACGAGACGCGAGGAGCGGGGAGAGAAGGCTGAACAAGCATTGAAGAATGACAGATGACGAAAGCAGGGAGGAGAAAGCGGGATGCCGAAAGCGGAAGGCAGAATCGAGGAAGGACGAAGGATGACGGTCATGGTAGATTGGTGTTGACTCCTCCACACTCACACAGTACCGTACATTAACACAGAAAACCATATCAGACCACACTACACATTGCATCACCAGCGCGAGCACCACGCCTGAACAGTATCGACACAGGAAACCAGGTGAGTTTTCCAGACGTGTCAAACAAGCCCCTCCGAGTTTGATCTGCTCTCGTCTCGGCCTCACTGGTTGCTGCGCTTGTTTCTCCATCCGCCCATCTCGCCTTTTCCGCTTCCGCCTTTTTCTGCAGCGCCCGCAGAAAACCCAGGGCACGAGCCCCTAGGAGCCAGGTCAGCCCAGGGTTGACGGCGGCGGAAAACCCAACACGAACAGAGATGGTGGGGCTCAAACCGGTGCGCTGGCGAGGTACGGAAGGGCTGGGGAAAGGTTGGTGGTGGCTCGGCGGAATTGGTAGGGAGGGAGGTACGTAGGGAAACTGGGCTAGGCACATCGAAATTCCAAGCTGCACGCGCTGGTCTCGAATTGAACTCCCCAAGCCAGTTTTGGTGGAGTGAGCGAGGTGTGGACCAACGTCGGTTTGCCCGTCGGTCTAAATATTTGGGCGCAATTTTTTCCGCCGAAAGCGGAATGGTTCTGATCTTGTCGGAGGCGGGGATTTGCAGGGAGGACCCAAACGGTGGCTAGCGCTACCTCTCGCATGCTCGCGCCACGCCGCAGAGACACTGGGCAAGCGCAGATCGATGATATCGATCGAGGCGGCTTTCCAGAGCGCGGAAGCAGAGGGGCGATGGTGGGGCGGCGGAGGGGCTGAGCCTGGAAGCGGTTCGGGAATGGAAACTGTGGCTGATATTGGTGAACAAGTTTCCTAGTGCGACGTCTCCAGGACGGTTCAGCTTCGTCTCGGCGTTGCAAAAATGCAGTTTGCGACAAGTTGTTCCAATTGTGAGACTACTCGTGCGACTAGCATTTCCGCAATTGTGTGCGTACTAGTCAAATGCTTCTAGACAGGCGACAACTTCGGTTGGTGGTAGTGAACGACTGTTACGGGTGCAATGAATCGAGGTAGCGAGAATTGCACTAAGGTGTCAAACGAGTACAAAAATGTGAGCGAAGGCATGAGCGAGCATTTATACGCGAAACATGCAAAACGGTAACGCGGTGCGTGCGAACTTGCTAGTGCTACGCTGGAGCGAGGCTCGGGCTAGTCCCGAAGCGTAGGCCGATACGGCCATGCCAGCAGTGCGAGGTTTGGCAAAACAGTGCGCGCGAGGTCGGCGAAGTTCCGTTAGCAGTAACGGGCGAACAGTCGGCTGTTGCTGTACGCGATGTAGTCGGCGCCGTAAGGAATGCCTGAGAAAATTCCTTACACTACCCCCCCCCCTTAAGAAGCCCCCTCCGCTACGCGAGTGCGTGTATATCGCGGAATCCCCGGCTTCTCAAGTACACTTGCAGGGCAGGGTGATTTTCGATGTTGCTCAGGGGCACCCAGCTATCTTCAGTTGGCGTGCGGTCTTTCCAGCGAACGAGGAATTCAATCCTCCTGATTCCCGTGGGGTGGCGGATCCGATGGCTCAAAATTTTTCGGGCTCGATGATCGGCTCTGATGCAGGGCGAGTCATTGATTGTGGCCGGTGACGCGGCAGTTGACTCGTGGTCGGGATGTATGGGCGAAGTAGGCTGACGTGGAACGAAGGGCTGATGTACCAGTCAATTGGCAACAGTAGGTGCGCGGTGACGGGTGTGATCATGTGACTGATTTGGAATGGTCCACAGTAGCGCGGTCGTAATTTTGGTACGTCGGGCAGTCGCAGATTTTGCGTGTCGAGTAGCACGTAATCTCCAGATTGATACGTGACGGGGCGGCGGTGGCGATCAGCGTTGCGCTTAGCGATGACGTTGGCCTTTTTTATTGCTTCGGCGGCTCTGGCGCGGGCAGCTTGCAGGATTTCGGCGAATTGTTGTGCGCGTGGCGTTGGGTTGTCCGGACTCGGCGTCATGGGCACTGTGGGGTTCTGCCCATAGTTCAGGTAGAACGGGGACTGCTGCGTCGTGGCTGATGTGGCGTTGTTGTACGCGAACTCGATCAGCGGCAGCTGCTGCTCCCAGGTCGTGGGGTCGTCGCACGTGGCACGAATCAACTGCTCCATCGTCTGATTCGTCCGCTCCGTTTGGCCGTCGGTCTCGGGGTGGTACGACGAACTGAACTGTAGCCTGGTCCCGAACTGCTCCCAGAGGTTCTTCCAGAAGTTGCTGGTAAACTTCGTGTCCCTGTCGCTGATAATTGCTGCTGGTATCCCGTGCAGGCGAACAACGGCTGCGATGAACAGGCGAGCGGTCTCTTCGGCTGAGATCGACTTTTTGCACGCAGCGAAGTGTGCCATCTTCGTCAACCTATCCACGACGACCATCACCGCGTCGTTACCCCCAGGGTTCGAAGGTAACCCTGTGACGAAGTCCATGGTTACTTGCTGCCAGGCGCGTTCGGGCGGTGGGATCGGCTGCAATTGACCCGCCTTCCGCTTCCTTGAACTCTTCATCACCTGACACGTCGGGCACGAGCCCACGTGCTGCTGTACGTCGGTCAACAGCTCCGGCCAGTAATAGTACCGCTGCAGTTGCTGTCGTGTTTTTTCTACCCCGAAATGTCCCGAGGTAATCCCGTCGTGTGCCTCCTGCAGTAGCAGCTCCCTCAGTAGTGAGTACGCGGGTACCCAAATGCGGTTGGTGTCTGTTTTTACGTAATAAACTCCTTTTGCTTCTGCCAGTTGCTGTGAATTTCCGGTCGTGAAAAATGGGTCGGTGCGGTATCCGTGGGTGAATAGGCCAGTTAAAAGCGGGTTGGTCTGGGCGAGTAGGATGGCGTGGAGTTGGGCGGTGGGGCGGGTGAGAGCGTCGGCGATGTTGGATGCTCCTTTTTTGTACGTGACGGTGTAGTGAAAATTGGACTCGAGATAGTCCAACCAGCGAATCTGTCGTGGGTTGAGATTCGGTTGGGCGCGAAGGTACTGTAGCGAGCGGTGGTCTGTTCATCGCAGCCGTTGTTCGCCTGCACGGGATACCAGCAACAATTATCAGCGACAGGGACACGAAGTTTACCAGCAACTTCTGGAAGAACCTCTGGGAGCAGTTCGGGACCAGGCTACAGTTCAGTTCGTCGTACCACCCCGAGACCGACGGCCAAACGGAGCGGACGAATCAGACGATGGAGCAGTTGATTCGTGCCACGTGCGACGATCCCACGACCTGGGAGCAGCAGTTGCCGCTGATCGAGTTCGCGTACAACAACGCCACATCAGCCACGACGCAGCAGTCCCCGTTCTACCTGAACTATGGGCAAAACCCTACAGTGCCCATGACGCCGAATCCGGACAACCCAACGCCACGTGCACAACAATTCGCTGAAATCCTGCAAGCTGCCCGCGCCAGAGCCGCCGAGGCAATAAAAAAGGCCAACGTCATCGCTAAGCGCAACGCTGATCGCCACCGCCGCCCCGTCACGTATCAATCCGGAGATTACGTGCTACTCGACACGCAAAATCTGCGACTGCCCGACGTACCAAAATTACGACCGCGCTACTGTGGACCTTTCCAAATCAGTCACATGATCACACCCGTCACCGCGCATCTACTGTTGCCAACCGACTGGTACATCAGCCCTTCGTTCCACGTCAGCCTACTTCGCCCATACATCCCGACCACAAGTCAACTGCCGCGTCACCGGCCACAATCAATGACTCGCCCTGCATCAGAGCCGATCGTCGAGCCCGAAAAAATTCTGAGCCATCGGATCCGCCACCCCACGGGAATCAGGAGGATTGAATTCCTCGTTCGCTGGAAAGACCGCACGCCAACTGAAGATAGCTGGGTGCCCCTGAGCAACATCGAAAATCACCCTGCCCTGCAAGTGTACCTGAGAAGCCGGGGATTCCGCGATATACACGCACTCGCGTAGCGGAGGGGGCTTCTTAAGGGGGGGGGGTAGTGTAAGGAATTTTCTCGGCATTCCTTACGAAGCCGACTACATCGCGTACAGCAACAGCCGATTGTTCGCCCGTTACTGCTAACGGGACTTCGCCGACTTCGCGCGCACTGTTTTGCCAAACCTCGCACTGCTGGCATGGCCGTATCGGCCCACGCTTCGGGACTAGC